GCTTAAGGCGGGACTTAACCTGAATGGGCCCATTTTTCACCACGCGACACCTTAACATTGCGGTTAAACTGTCAGAAATGATCTCGTTCACGTTTCCAATGCAGATAAATCCAAAAAGAACATCTATGCTTCATCCCATGAATGCTATGTTTTATGGTGGGACGTGTTGCGACTGGTTTTATAATTTTTTTTGGGTGATTTTTGTGTATATTTGGGAGGATATAGTTTTTTTCCTGTTTTCCTCAAAGGAAGTTGTCAAAAGTTAGGGGAAAATGAGAAATATTGAAGATTTTGATGTAGTTTTTAAAATTAGAATTGAAGTTAAAAAGATTTAGTAGATTGACAATTGACGACAGTTGATAACCACGCAAGAGGCACCCGCGTGGGTATCAACTGTCTGTTTGGTATGTGTTCCAAAATTATTATTGGGGTTTTTTTCTTTCTCTTTTCTATCTTTTTCTTTCTATCCCTTCTTTAAATACTCTTAAAAAAAAAAAAAAAAACTTTTTCTCATCTGGACAATTTAGGTTAAGTCCCGCCTTAGAGCGACATGTATTTTTTTTTTTTTTATCACAGAACCCTATAACTAAGATGATTCTTAAAAACCGTAACTACACTACAATACATTAGCCAACTTGATTCAATAAGAAAGCAAATCAAGTGAAAATGCGCTGATTTCACTATAGTTAAGTTAAAAAAAAAAAAAAAAAAGAACCATAGAAAAAAATCGTGGGAAAACAAAAATTTCGAAAAAAAAAAATTGTTGCCCCCATAATAGCGAAATCTCTAGTATTCCCACACTAAAACACACCCCCTCACGGGCTGTAGGATTGCCGGAGCACGGCAGTATGCTCTCTTGCCTGCCGACCGGCGGCGCCCGCGCCCCCCGCCACGGGCATCCCCCACCACCCCACACACCGCATAGAGCGCGCCACCGCCGCCCGCCACACCCAAACCCGCCAAGCCACCTCAGTCACGCCAAGCTGCACAGTTCCCACCCATACCGGTCCTCCCACATGGTGGCTCCTAAACACTAGTTGCGTTCATTTACATATATATATGTCCCGTCTTAGAATTTCCCTCCCATGTGGGAGGCGTAAAGTACGCTACGCGTACTTGAGCCTCGTTTTGGCGTAAATCTTGTTTTCTCTTTAGAGCTTTGCAAAATTACAGAATTGACCCAGATTTCTTGAATTATGCGATACTTGTGAAATGCATGTGGAAAGTTAGCCACTATTTCTGAATTATTTTGGTTTATCACTTTAAAAGCCGCTTAAGGTGATTCCTTGGTATTGCATTGCGCATCCTTACTGCACATAATTTCTTGCGTCATTTGCGCGCGCCACGCGTCATTTAGCGCGAGTACGAGCGCGCGCACATACAGAACATTACAGGATTTCTTTCAAACTAGGCTTGGCTGGGAACTAAATGGTCGTTTTCTTCTAAACAAGCACGGTGACCCCCATTTTTTATTTCATAATTTTAATAAGAACAGTAACTACATACACAAGAAAAAAATGGGCAGAAATCTATGATCAGTTTTTTTGCAATTTAACTAAAATTCTCCGGAGGGAGCCACTACGGTCCCACAGCCGCATATCCAATTTGAATCTCCTTTGAAGTGTAAAGTAAATACAAAGGTAATCGAAGACATTTTTCTGGAACGTCGGTGAATAAACAATGGAATAAAGTCAAACTCTGTGCGATATCCCGGGCTGCATTGAAAATATCGAGCTTATTTGCTGCGCACGGTTTTTGCCAAAAGGGGCCAAAATGACCGCACTCGTCAGCATTGTGGCGTGGAAACGAGCACGGTGACCCCCTCTTTTTATCACGTTTTATTATCTCCTTGACTTGTTACAAAAGTGTACCAAGTTTCATCGGAAATCTATGTTTGGTTCTATTACCAGGGAATTACCTTAAGGCGGGACTTAACCTGAATGCCATTTTTCCGCAGAACTTAACATGGGTTAAATAGAAATATCTCGTTCACGTTTCAAGCAATCCAAAAACTCTATGCTCATCCCCATGAATCTATGTTATGGAGTGTTTTGTAAATTTTTTGGTGATTTTTGGGTATATTTGGGAGGATATAGTTTTTCTCAAAGGAGTTGTAAAATTTAAGGAAAATGAGAAATATTGAAGATTTGATGTAGTTTTAAAATTAGAATTTGAAGTTAAAAATTAGTAGATTGACAATTGACGACAGTTGATAACCACGCAAGAGCACCCGCGTGGGTATCAACTGTCTGTTGGTGTTTTCCAAAAATTATTTTCTTTCTTCTATCCCTTCTTTAAATCTCTTAAAATTTCATTGAAATTTAGGTTAAGTCCCGCCTTAACCAATATTACAAATTATTCAAAACCTTATGTAGGTCACGATTTTTAAATCACGTTTGATCGAGGCTAAGTGTATGCATGTGGAATTCCCGGGGTTAATTACACCATTTTAATTTTAAATTTGCATGTAAGCTTATAAGGTCTTATAAATTATGTAGTCAATCGCATGCATGGTGACCTATTTATCAAATGGCTGACAAAGTTACTGACCTATGTACAGGCTAGAATAAATGATGCTGTACCCCAATTCCACACCTCAAATATTGTCTGTGTACAGAGACGGACAGCCCCTCCCAACACGAGAACTACGAGAAGTTAATTATAAGCTACTGCCAAAAACTTATTTATATACAGTTTTGGATTTGTAACAATCAAAAAAATATTGATGGAGAAATATCCTTCAAATAATTTGATTGGCTCGTGAAAGCTCAACAGAAGTTCTAGTCAAGAATATTGTGTGCAATAACAAGTAGATTTCTCCTGATGAAAAAACATGATTTATATTCAATGGATTGAAAGTAAAGGTGGTTCCCTTTGATAAAACCTTGTCTGTGATCCCTGGCTTCTAACAGTTTTGGCCATCGATCCTGGTACATGTACATGTACAAATTATGCAGGTTCAGGACTGTATTGGACTATTCTGACTCGCAAATAAATGAGTATGGATTAGCAACTGATTTGCACAACAGAAGCATACAGTAGCAATATTACTTTATGGGTAAAACGGCTTAGTAACAACATTCATATTAAAAAACCTGTTTGGGGAGGAAAGAAGACCGGATTTGAGAGAGCAGTGGAAATTGAAATTCTATTTGTTTCATATTTTGAATATTATAACTGTTTAACATACATGTATTCATTCAACAGTTGCTAGACATGTGCATTCCATTATCGAACAAAGAAATATAAAAATGATTGCAATCACTTCGCTTAATTTGGAGGATAGACTTGCCACAAGTCGACTTCTTTAAGCGAGCGACGGAGTCGCACGACGAGCGGCGAACGCCGTGAGAAGTCGACTTGTCCCGACTGCAGGAGTTCAAATTTAAGTTGCATATTTCTTGGCGCGAAAGTGGGCGTGATGTTATTGTTCACGGCCGCCCGCTCCCTGTATTTTCTAGGACTGTCTGTACACCAGCTGTCCTCTAAAAAAATCACTATAATTTGTTAACATATACTTCTTCCATTATTTGTAATATTAAATACTATCAACAAGGATCTTTACTAATACATAGACAAGCAAAAAATAACTATAAATTTGAATGACGTCTTGGTGTCTTCATGACACCATAATTATCAAGTTGTGCATAGAATAAACCTTAGAAGAAATTGTCAGTGATGCGTAACTTTTATTTATGCTAATTTTAGCCAAACGATCATCCCTGACAATTTCTTTGAAGGTTTATTCTATATGTACAACTTGATAATGGTGTCATGACGACACCAAAATGTTGTTCAATTTTATCATTAATTTTTTGCTTGTCCGATAATATTATTATTGATCAATTTTATTGAATAATTTTTTTTTTCTCAGTCCAAGTTCAAGAAACAGAGAGGACAACAGGAAACAGCTGAAACTTATTTCTTAGCAGGACGGTCGATGATGTGGTGGGCGGTAAGTTATTATTTTGTGGATTGACAAAACTATTGTAAATTTACACCCATAATTTTTTTTTTATGGGTGTAAATAACAATAGTTTTGTCAATATTATACTGTTATGTACTAATATGGGGATGTGGTCAGTAGCATAATGAGGATGTGATGATGAATATATGAATGAAATCATATAGACAGTTAAGTAATGGAAACAGAAACACAACAACAAAGATTATGACGTGAAAAATGTGTCCCAGCCAGGATTTGAACCCGGGCTCTCCTGGTTACCGGTCAGATGCCTTACCACCAGGCCACTGGAACAAAACACACTAAGGAGGCTGTAATTTGGCCTTCATATATATATATATGAACTGCGGATATGAAAATGAATCAACGATCATCGCAGTTGTGAACGCAATTTAAGCAATTGCAATTTTAATGAGGATGAGAATTGTTGAGACTTGCAGAGTTCAAACTTTTGCTCTCGTTTGGCCTGAAACTCTCATGATCATGAATGCACTATCGGCGACTCTCATACGCTCTCATCAAATTTGAACCTGCTCAAGTCTCTTGAGAGTCATTGACAACTCTCATTTTCAATTTTGGCCCGATTTGATATTCGGCCCGGGTTAATGGTAATAGAAGCTAGCAACATATACCACTGGACTCTGGGTCAAGAAATTGTTTTCAACTTAGTCTAGCAATTGTCCTTGTGTTGTGTTCTTGTGCAAGACACACACACAGGAACTTAATGGATACTGAATGGGTACAAGAAATATGGTGGGTAGACTATGATCAACTACTCTGTAGTCATCTCCATCCAGTTTTGGGAGGGGGGAGGTATTGGGGTTAGCGTTAAGCTGATTGCTTGTTCATTGTTTGGATTATAGGTTGGACCCAGTCTTTTTGCCAGTAACATGGGCAGTGAGCACTTTGTTGGGTTGGCAGGGTCTGGAGCTGCCGACAGGGATTGCTGTAGTGTCATATGAGTGGCAGGTGAGCTGAATAAATTACATGGGGTTGACTACACATTATTAAGATTGGGGAATAATTTATTAAAATGCCCAGATTAACCTGAGTGAGAAATTAAATGCAACCGCTGTATGTAGTAACAAGAATGTATGTTGAGGCCTTATGCAGGGCTGCAAATATATATTTTTTTCTTGAAAGGACATATGTCCAACTAAGTCGCCATGTTTGGTCGGACCAAAACAAAAATGAGGTCAGACATCATATTCACAGTACCGCTCCGTGATTAAGCGAAACCTGCTAATCTAACGTGTTGTCAACACAGAGTAAACTACATGTACATGTAGTTTGTGTTTTAGAACAAAAACGTATGCGCTAGCTTTTGCGTTGGAAAGAAAAAACATTATCCAAGCACATCATGTCCGACCACGAGTTGGGATTTCATTGGACATTGGCTAAATTTTGCGTCGGCCATTGTTATTTTCAGCCCTGTTATGTGTCACTAGACACGATATAGACCAATGATGATGATGGTACACAATTGTATACCATGTCGCCGACACTAACATCAGTAAGACCTTGGACCATTGGGAAAATGAAACTGCAACAACATCCCCTGATTGACCCGGGGGTTAATTCCTCAGTTTTTGATTTAATTTAATTATTTTATTAACCCTGGCAGTTCAATTAAGATGGTGATCTTGTTGTTCATTGTTTCCAGGCCTGCTGGGTCCTGCTGCTATCTTGGTTGGTTTTTTCTGCCAATTTACCTGAGATCAAGGGTAAGTTTTTTATGTAAAATATACAGTCAACAGGGGTTTCTAAATCATTAGAAGCCGGCTACCAGCGGTCTACCGCCACCTACGTTGCCTCTTGCCGCCGCTTACTAATCAAGCCTTCTGGCTTTCAGAGAGTTTTACTTATAAGATTTATGAAAGAAAGAAAAAGCTAAAGTCATTAAGTAAGTAAAGTAATATCGTTTAAAATACCTGAGATCTACTGCATGTGATCGATAGAAATTGTCATATACTGTAGAAACACTAGATTTGACTCCCAAAAATGCTGGAAATTGCATTTCGAGCTTCTACATTTCCAAAATTTTCTGGGCCCCCCCCATACCCCCTAGCAAAAAGGGGCCATGCGACCCCTTTGTTGGACACAGCTGCTTATTCCACCATGATATTAGCCGCTTACTTCCAAAATTAATGAAAACCCCTGCAGTCAACTCCCTCAAAGCGGACACCACTGTAAGGCGGACACCTCTCTAAGCTAAGGCGGACATGGTTGGCTAGTCCGAGGGTGTCCGTCTTAGAGAGAGTTCACTGTTCACTTACCAACACTTGCAGACTACTACTAGACATAAATCCACAACAGAAAACTATCAAAGAGTTGATGAACTCTTCCAATAATATTCTGTTAATAATTATACTTTTGATGAAAATGATATCTTTGTGTTTTACAAAACGTAAATTAATACCATCAAATGGCGGGGGCCAGATATAGTGAGAACTATTACTAGTATATTAGGTGACAGCTTAATATTAATCAAATCAAATCAAAATAATGTTACTTACGCAGGATATTGAGCTATTCCAAAGAGTCAATATATAGCCTGGTCGGTTATTGCCCTGACAGCCTGTCATTTATTCTGTAAATATAATATATATTAAATATATATTATATTTACAGAATAAATGACAAAAAAAATAAATTTTATTTTATCAATCTACTTAACAGATATTACAATGCCCGAATTCTTGCAAAAAAGATTCCAGAGCCAGTGGGTCAGGACATACTTGACTGTTGTGGCTTTGTTTTCATATGTGTTCACAAAATTTTCGGTAAGTACATTGTACATGTAATGTGATTCACGGTACAGTGTACCTACTGACAATGCAAAAGTTAAAAATACAAACAAAATTGCAGTGCTGCTACTGTTACCGGGGCCACTTAAACTAAACTAACCAATCAGATTACAGGAAACGAACAATGCATTCCAACTAAAATTGTTTGAGCCAATCAACAGCGCGGAGAAAACAATGACCTGAAGTGCAAAATTTGATGGAATGCAGTGTTCGCTTCCCGTAATCTGATTGGTTAGTTTAGTTTAAGTGTCACCGGTAACAGTAGCAGCACTGTAATGATTGACAAATCATGATGTTCCTTGTTCAACTTCTAGTGAATTTTCGCTTAAAGTTTTATGCTGCATCGGTTCCTTGCAATGAAAATTCAATGAAGATTCACATAGTCAATATAGGCTTGATAATATATTACCAGTTGCTGTTCGAGAAAATGAGCTTGCGCTAGCGCTCTTCCCCTGAAGGCACAGCAGGGAGGAATGAAGGCCGGACTAGAGAGAGAGGCGGAAATCAAGCCTACATACACTGTAGTCAATCAAGAATTTGAGAGTGGATTATTTGCTTGTATGACTATTTAATCATGTGATTAATACTTTGTCATGAAAACAGATTTTCCAGGATGCCCCTTTGGGCAGATAAAATGCATTAGCCCTACAGAAAAATCCACTAGCCCCGGGCTATCGGACAGCACTGTCTTTGCACGCTACATGTACACGGACTGCTTTGTAGTAAACTAATGATCGATGCCGATGTAATTGAAGTCCAATCTACATTGTACATGTACAGTATTATGTCAAGTACAAATGTGTACACAATTACAGTCACGTGCTTGATGTTCTTGTGCTTTACAGGTCGATATCTATGCCGGCAGTTTGTTTCTGTATGAAGCTGTTGGCTGGAACATTTACATCTCTGCTGCTTGTGTCTTGGCCATCACTGCTGTCTACACTGTTTTGGGTAAGCTCAAAAATTATTGCTGCCCGCACAGGGCAGCCTCCTAATTCTGGATTTTCTAGCTCGGCAAGATTTCATGGAAGGCAGATGTTTTTGTTAGCAGTACCCAGCCCCCCTGACTTCCAACGAGGGGGCTTATTAGATAGGGGGGGGGGGGGGGGAGGGCTTAATAGAGAGGGGGGGGCTAAATAGAGCTTTTACGGTATGTATGAGCGTCGCTGACAGGCCAGTGTGGCTTGTACATGTATGTACGTATGTATGTAAGTTTGATAAAGAATATTTATTTAATAATAATTTATTAAACTCATGACCAATAGATGAGCTTGGGGAAGGTGCCTTGATATGGTGGAGCCACGTGTGATTCGAGTAGAGCGTGCAGGTATCCATGGTAACCCTGAGAGCAGCAACCACCAGGCACCATCAAACTGATAGAATCATTGGAGATACTTACCAAACCCAAATACTTACCAAGACAAAGAAGGGGGAGGATTGGGGGCAGCAAAGCACATGACAAGCACAAAGCTAAACGAGAACTGCACATCCACACAAAACATGATGACTATCCCTGCAAAGCCCTGTTTATGCAAGCCTGTGCGCATGGCCACTGGGGAGAGCCGCTGACCACCATTGGCTTGAGTCTCGGTCCAGTTCACCCCAGTGAGGCATAAAGGCCGCATTGTCTCAATTTTAAACTTAGCCTAAATTACATTTAGCCACATAAAAATCAAAATGAACAACCATTCGTTACAATTCAGGAGGTACAGTAATGTTTGGTACTGACACTGTACTGTGTTATAACTTCAGGTGGTTTGACAGCTGTGATCTTCACTGATGTCTTGCAGTGTATAATCATGGTCCTTGGTGCCATAGACGCTGGCAATTTTAAGTAAGTTTCTAGAAGAAGTCTAGAAGTTAACCCTTTTACTCCCAATAGTGTCATATGGCACAAGATGCTATTACAACTAAAGCTCGATATTGGGTCAATTTGCATGAAATTGGACACCAAAAAGATCTTGGTGAGATCTGCACATTGGAAGCTTAAAATTATACCACCTATATTAGACTTGATTAACCCCCCGTCCCCCCCCCCCCCCCCCCCCCCCCCCCCCCCCCCCCCCCCCCCCCCCCCTCCCCCCCCCCCCCCCCCCCCCCCCCCCCCCCCCCCCCCCCCCCCCCCCCCCCCCCTCTCAACTTTTGCAACTTAATTGGCCTCTTACACCACTAAAGGTCAAGGTAATATCTGATAACAACCCACACACCAAGAGCTATAAATTAAGCTATTATTGCTTAGGGGTATACTCAATAAAAACAAGGAATATTTTAGGTATTTTTGAACATTAATTTCCTTTTTCATTTTGGATACTCTTCAATCCAATCTGTGACTTCCTGTATGTCTGTTGGGGTGACATATTACCCCAAACAATACCTTTCCAATGGTTTAAAATTATTGTTAGTGGTCTTTGGGTCTATATTAACCATTTTAGAAAAAATACGGTATTTCCCTTGGGAGTGAAAGGGTTAAGCCACTAGGCTTGTAGT